AGCGAAAGAGAACAAAGAAAAATAATCTTGCATTTTTCACTTTGATTTCGCCGAAAATTGGACAGCAATTTTATCGAATGAGGTACAGTCGTATCACTGGCACAAAAGACAGGTGTCTATATTCGCGTGTGTCGTCACAAGGAAGCAATCAATTCGAAGTTTTGCCGTCATCAGTGATATGACACATGCCATGATGCTGCACATGCCTGTTTTGCTCCACAACTGTATGAAGGAATAACTTAAGCCTGACACGCATGTTACATATGTTTCTGATGGTGCATGCAGTCACTTCAAGAACAAGTACCAGCTATTCGAGTTATGTCAGAAAGACCATATATCAACAAAGTGGATTTTTTTCGGCCACAGGACATGGCAAGAACTCTTGTGACGGCGTTAGTGGCCTACTAAAGCATCAGGCTACGCTCTACAACCTCAGAGCGGCAAGCTCAGCTGTGATTATGTCAGCATCCCAAATGGTGGCGCAAATGAGTGCGAAGCTCAAGAATGTCAAGCTGCTGTGTGCAAATGCAGACGAGCTAGAAACATTCCGTCAGTTTAAGAAGAGCCAGTGGAAATCGTTGCCACGTGTTCCAGGCATACGTTCTTGGCATGTTTGGCTAAGCACATCTGAGGGCACTGATCGTGGTCGTGTTTTGTTAGCGTCACGTACTGCTAAATGTGATCTGCAAAAGATGCAGCCATTTTGAGCGCATCTCTTGTTTCACGCTCTCACCACCAAAATACCAGTGAGGGTACGTCAAGCGCATATGCTTTTTCTAGCGAGACCCAACACTTGCGTTGGAACATTTTCATGTTTGAGTTTATCTGCAAATATAGACAGATGTTTTGCAACTGAGTTACAGTGTCGAAGATTTCCTCCATTAGAGCTGTGTTATCAGGAGCAAAAATGCACCTTCATGGGTACGTATTCGTCACAGTGCTAAAACAGCCTTTCTTCACCAAATTCGGTCACGTTTACTCGCGTTTGAAGCTTATTGCCGCTTTACCGTTCCGATTTCTAGATTTCTCAACTTATCAGCACATTCTCGAAAAGCTCTAATTTGTACCGCAATCATTGTCGCTAAAAACAAAATAATGCAACATGTTTTTCCATATTACTGTATGATGGCCTTCGGTTGTATATTTACGAGATTTTAGGAAAAATTGAAGATGGGGTTTTCTTATTATTTAAATTTCAGTGGAGTACACTTTTGTCAATATGAGAACTTTGAGGCAATATATAAAAATTTTCATTTGCCCTACGGCAGCTATAATTTATGTACCTGATGAGCACACTAAATCCTCAAAACACGTCAAGTTTAAAAGCGCTGCTAGCATTACTTTCGGAGAAAAAAATGGGGAATACGTAACTTATTTTAAACTGTCGCAAAACTAGACATTTTTAAAAGCTACTTTCTTACGGTCTGCAAACTTGAAACCGTATGAATTCATTCTTTAGTAGACATACATTTCAGGTAAAAAATATCTTTTTCGAAACAAAAATAATTGTCTTTTTATAGCATCTGCAATTTTCGAAAATGACAGGTGACGAAGTTGGTGCCTCCGTGTTGATGAAGTTTGATATTTCTTTTTCTCGTAAGTTATGCCGTTAATAATAAAACGAAGTTGATTTTCGGGATACCTGGTGAGACGTGCACGAAATATAAAATACTCAATGAAATCTAAAATATCAACTTTTGGACCCCTGTCGATCTCTCGTGGAATCACCTTTTAATGAGTACCTCAAGGGACGAATGATTACAAAACTGGACACGGAAAGCAGAAAAGTAGGTCTCAAAATTGATATGCACAGTGATGTGCAACAGTTTCGGCAGAAAACACCACTCTGCGATATGTGGAAAGACGCTGGAAGTTGTAAAGAAATATGTCTACTTAGGACAGGTAGTAACCGCAGAGCCGAACCAGGAGAGTGAAATTACTAGAAGAATAAGAATGGGGTGAATAACATTCGGCAAGCATTGTCAAATCATGAATGATAATCTGCCACTAACCCTCATGAGGAACGTATATAACAGCTGCATCTTGCCAGTACTTTCCTACAGAGCAGAATCCTGGATGCTTACAAAGAGGGTTTAACTTAAATTGAGGACGACGCAGCGAGTGATGGAAAGGAAAATGATAGGTGTAGCGGTAAGAGACAAGAAAGGAGCAGAGTGGATCAGGGAGCAAACCAGGGTTGAGGATATCGTAGCTAAAATGAAGAACAAAAAATGCACATGGACTGGGCACGTAGCACATATACGCAGGACAACCGCTGTTCGTTAAGGGTAACTAACTGGATTACTAGAGATTGTAAACACACGAAGCGGAGACAGAAAGTTAGGTGGACCGGTGAGGTTTTAAAAAAATGCCAGGCCTGTGCGAAGGGCGCAGCACATTCACAGTGAAAGCTAGAAGAGAGACCTTTCAGAGCCTTTTCTCAACACTGATTTGGTAACTGCTGAAAGCACACTTGCATTAGGCCCACTATGAAATTAATAATAAAAACTTTAGGGTAACAGGCCGGCATTCTCTATGCTATTTTTCGTCATTTTTCTAAGAAGCATTGCATCCGCTAAATATTGCAAGGAATGTTGTGCCAATTATTCATGCAGTCACTGACGACAATGAGGAATTATGCTCGAAGTGGATATGCGCCACAGTTAATAATTGAACGTAAACAAGCTTTTGTAATGGGTTCGTGCATTGGACGACCCCCTTGTTACGCTATTCGCATTGTGCGACGACAGCTTGTTCTTTCGCTGTTTTAAAACGCTTTATAAGTCGGAATAACATGATTGCTTTCCCGACATCAAGCCTGCCTAAGGCAAGTGTGCCATTAAATCCCAAGCACTGGTGTAGTTAACTTGTAGAATACTCGGCTGGCACCTAGTGTACGCGGGCTCGAGCCCCACTGTGCCATTGGTGCTAGTTTTTTTTAAAGACGATATTAAAGACGATAGTCTTTCTTAGGGACCTTCGACGCAAAAATTTTGGTATGTCTGTCTGTCTGTCTGTCTATCTGTAAATTTGTCTGTTTGTTCACTCTTAACAGCACCGGGTACTTGAAACGGCCGACCCATCCGCAGCGACCACCAATGTTGCTCAAGGTTTAGCGTTCATACTTGTACAATTATCAATTAATAAGCAATTATTGCGTAAGTCTGGAGCACCGTGACAACACGTATATATATTGCGCATGTGCATCTTTTACTGGAAAATGCATACATAAGTAATTTTAAGGAGTGTAGTGCATATCACGCTACGCTGACTATGCAACGCTTGCACGAAAAGGTGTTTCCAACGCTTTTCTAAGACGCGATGGTGGTGGCACCTACCCGTGGCCTTGCGTTTCTCACCTTATCACCTCTGAGATGGGCGCGCACACCCGTCTCAGAGCCAAGCGCTTCGTTTTGCAAGAAGACTGCCAGGTGGTGCTCATGTCTCACGTGTGACGTGACTTGATGCGCTCGTTCGCCTCCGCTGCACGCTCGAGGCACTCTAACGCAGCGCCTCCAAAATACCATTCACTAATTTTCTTGCGCAGAACATCAAATAATTAGTTCGCTCTCTCCACGCGCAAGACTATCGTCTTTCGACGACATTTGCGGATTACATGCAGATACGGGGTCTTTTTTTTCTAATTTCGCGCGATGTAGTTACAGACACCAGCGGCGGCGGCGGCGGACAACAACGGCGCTGCGCGGGACCCGAGTTGTGATCGTATAACAGCTGTCGTTCTAAATGTTCGCAGGTATAACGTGGTGACGGAAAGCACAAGTCTGGGTTGACTTGTAGATCATGGGAGGGCATATTGTTTCCTAAAATTAACTAGAGGGGACTCTGGCACTGCGATCGTTCACCGCCCATGAGAATGATGTGTAGTACACACATTGGCCTAGTATTCATACTTGCTGGTGACGAATAGTACTTGCGGCTTCGTTTTTTGATGGTTACGGTTTCGCTTTGAAGGAAAGAACGATCCCTTTTGAACTTTGTAACTCGATTCAAGATGATAAGCTTAAAAGAATAAGGTTGTGAAGCGCAAACGCCGAACATTTGCTAATTTATTTTTCGCGAAAAAAACAGCTCTAAGCCACACGAACACACACACAGTCAGAAACAGGCCAGAAGTACGTACGAAAATTATACAAATGTGTGTACTACCCATCATTCCCATGCTCGCTGAAACGCCGTGCGTTGCAGCTCCCGTAGACACTAGCACCAGAGTTCCCTCTAGTGTATATTAGGAAACTCTATGCGGGAGGGGCCTTTCCCCTTCAGTGGGCGTAGTCATGCTGTTGGTGATGAATACATATATGAATAAGTCATGTTTTGTTTTTTCACGTGAACAGGCATACACCGCCATGTTAACCCAGAGGAAATTGAATTGCTTACTTGCTGTGCTTACAAACTCCACTCTAGTAACATTATAGGTAAAAAAGGCGTACTCATGGTCAAAAGCCCGTGCTCCGCTAATTTGTTGCCCTCATGGTCTTTCACGCTTTCCAACGCAAATTGCATTTCGCCATAGTGTTGACTGAGCAAACGTCGCACCAAGCACGGAGATAGCGTTTTGACGCTTTCCGCCTGCTCGTCGACCGGCTGCATTGCTTCCGTCGTCGCCTTCCGCTTCCTCTGCGAGATGACTTCATCGTGTGCCCCGCGTGGAACCGAAGCCCCGGAGCCCATACGCAACGCCCACGTCTTCTGTCAACGCGCCAAGGAGACCACACCCTTAGCAAACGACGTCGCCTTTATTTGCTTGTATACGCTAAAGCTAACGCCGAGGTATGACGTCATTCGCTCTTAGCTGTCTCGGCCGATAAAGCGTCCACAGCACCGTGGTGGCGGGTAAGAGTTCGTCCGGAGGTGGATCACAGATGGGAGAGATCTCCCTAGGATGCCGCTATCCACCGCCAGATGGCGACGTGGCGCTTCGAGCGACTCCTACACTCCGGGCCGCCGAAGTGGTTTTGCAATGGTTCCGTTCTGGAGCACGAGCTAGCTACCGATAAGAGAGCTGAGGAGAAAACGGGACGCGGGCGATAGTCGACAGGAGGCGAATATCAAAAAGAAAGAGTGGAGAGAGAGAAGCTAAGCGAGGAGTCTTTGAGGCCAATGTCAAAGGGGGAGCCGTCTCGAGACTGATATTACGAAGGCCGAGGTATATCACAAGTGCCACGAAGAAACCGCGTATGCCTCCGGTTAGCGCGTCTCAGAAGTTATCGGGAGCTCATAGAAGCCAACATTCACACTCCGACACAATTTACCTTCTCTCTTCGCCTCCACCCCACACGGTGTGCGGAGATAAGCACGTCACGACAATTCGCCGCTCGAGGTATCTCCCGCAAGAACCCCTCGGTGGGCCGGCCACGCTTCAGCAAGACGGGACGACGCTACGCTGTGGTTACAACGTCGAGAACCCGGAGGCGAATAAGGTGAGTCACACGAATGCGTATTCGTTTGTAGCAGGCCACAACAATGTCATTCACAGAAACTCCGTATCAGCTACTGTTGTCGAACGATTGAGTGGGTAAACGCATGCGGTGACTCACTAGGCATTCATGACGTCGAAGTGGGTTCAAACGAATCGTGTCTTCCCGCGATGCTACAAACCGATGCGTCGTTCTTGTATCAGAGATCTGCGTGGAGTCGTAGATTGATCTTTAAATAAGGACAAACAGGTCACGACCAACTCTTGGTGAGTAAGCACCGTATGGAACTGCTTTGCGCAACCATTTGCTGTGCCGCGGCAACACTGGCAGCCTGCCGCTCACGTGTTTTCGCGAATATTTTTCGAACCTGGACTCCTACGGCAAAAGTTCTGTGCTCTGTGCAATTAAATGCTCATACTGACATACGGCACCACTTCACACAGAAATAACTTCAAACGTGCCTTCGTCTGCGTATATTAAACGTCATCAGCTGCAATTTCTAACACTTCACCCAGAAATTGGAATTAAAATGAGCGCCTACTTACAAGTCATGTAGGTATAAGAATTGACGCGCAATTCGATGCTTCAAGAAACGGTGCACTACTTCTATTAACATTTCTACTCTATATAAGCAAAAACACACCAAGGCACTGATTGATGAAGCGAAAATTTGGCGTGATAAATTGCGTGATATTCTCGTTTGACAATAATCATTGGCGACCTTACTACGGCAGAAAGCACTCGCGGATGAGCCATGGGTTCAGTGTTTGATGATTGCTTGAAATCGAAGACCTCGTAACGAACTCTTTAGAGTGACACGTCTCAGAAAACCGGCACAATAGCGACTTTCCGATCACTAAAATGTGTCGGCAACTCTAAAGCAAGTACTGCGAGACGCCACCCGCGCGCTTTTCTGATTGCTGTTGCGGTTGCCTCGTCAAACGTTAAACCGCTGTAGTTCATTGATCATAGAGCGAATTTACAAATTAAATTCTTCATTGGTTAACAATTTTGCCTGCATGGCCCTAGCCATCACCGCTCATACTACTGAATTTGCGATTTCCATATTTTTGCCCCCTGCAGTTGTCTAACGTCGACCGCCAATTTATTTTGAAATGTCGAATGAGGTTTCCTTACGTCAATACTATTTACGCATCAACGTGTTTAGTATGCTATAATCCACATGTAACCATATTTTCACTCACCCAGCAGCTCACTTCTTCGTCAAATATTTTTAATCTACAAGTAATTTCACTGGGAGATCAGCGTTGAAAGTGTCTCAGCTATTCTCTTTTTTTGTTAGAGCGCCCTGCACATAACATCCCCAAATACATATGCCGAAACGCTAGAGGGTTGGGTTTCATTCTCTCTCTCTCTCTCTATATATATATATATATATATATATATATATATATATATATATATATATATATATATATATATATATATATATATATATGTTGACTACGCCGTTTCAAGAATTCGCAATTGCAAACGTTCTAGAGTCAGTAGTTCTTAGAATTCTTAGAATATTTATCGTTATACTCTTAATTTTCTGCCATTCCTTGGCACTCTGTGGTGATTGTAACCTTTGCGCTGTTGAGCCCTAGTAATAATAAATAACAATTGCCACATTCTCAAATAGGTGAGAATCGGCCTCGGGTACCTTTGTTTTCAAATTGGGGTACAGTACGAAGAACTTTATTTTATGATCCGCAGAAGTGCCGCCTCTTAGGGCAAGGCCATGGCCTGCTCCCAGGTGGGGACAGTTAGACCTAGCCTAACCACCGCATCGCAGGCTCTCTGGCAAGCCTAAAGTTGATGCTGATATGCCGAGCTCTTGAAAACCGAGCTCTATTTCCACTCTGTGATGTCCTTATCCGCACGTAACGAGGGGCAACGCCGAAGCATGTTCTCTAAATCGCGCTTTCAGCGGCATCGAGGGCGCTGCGAGCTGTAGTCACTGTCAGAAAGAGACAGCGCATACAAGTGAGATTCCGATAAGAATCTGTTCGCAGCATCCTAAGGATCATGGCCTGCGGTCTCGAGAGATTTTTGTATGGTGGAGGAAATACTCTTTTTTCCATATAGATGTGTTTTGCGAATTCATTAAATGTGCATAAAGTGTCCTGGAACTCTCGAATCATGATGCAATGTGACAAGGTTTCTCCTCCCGCACATAGACAGTGCATAAAAGCGAGAATCGGATGAGCATTAGTTTTCACCGTCCTAAGCGTTATCACCAGTGTTCTCGAGAGCGTTTCGCGTGCACATGGTGGAGGACAATACTCTTATTTACAGGTAGAAATGCTTTGTGAATTCAATAAATGTGAATGAAGCGTTTCGAAACTCCTGAACCATGCACTGCGACAAGGTTTCTCTTCCCGCACGGAGAGCTTGTACTTTTTTCATGCTTTTCCAAATGAGGCTGTTAAGCTTCTTTTACAGGAAAAGCTGTTATGAGATCCCAACTCGGGTCTCACGCAGCACCGTAGTTGTCCGCTGACGCTGCCGCCAATGTCCGTAACAACATGCGCTAAATTAGAAGAAATGCCTAGTTCCAATGACACAGAGGGCGTCGAGCCCGGGTCCGCTGGGTGCCAGCCCAGTATTCTACCACTGAGCCACGCCGGTGCTTGGGACTTGTCGGCAAACTTGCCTTAGGCAGGCTTCATGTCGGGAAAGCAATCGCGTTAATATGTTTCATAAAGCGTTTTAAAACAGTGAAAGAACAAGCAGCCGTCGCACAATGCGAATAGTTGTAACGTGTGGGTCGTCCAATGCTCCAACCTATTACAAAAGCTTGTTTATGCTCAGCTATTAACTGTGGCACGTACCCACTTCAGGCATAATTCCTCGTCGTGGTAAGCCACTGCATGAACAATTGGCGCAAAATTCCTCTCGATAGTTTAGCGGATACCACACTTCTCAGAAGAATGGCTCAAATAGCACAGCGAATGCCGGCCTGCTACCGTAAAATTTTTATTATTAACGTCGCAGTGGGCATCAAGCAAGTGCACTTGCAGCAGTTACCCGATGAGTGTTTAGCAAAGTTTCAGAAAGGCCGCTCTTTTATAGCTTTCGCTGTGACTGTGCTGCGCCTTTCGCAGAGGCCTGACGTTTTTTCTCTAAGTTGAGCCACTTATGCATGACCGCTACATTTATGGTGTGGCTCATGAGGAAGGCATGGAAAATGCGAAGCAAGTTGTCTTCTTGCAGACATTCTCTTCTATTGGACACCCTACTAATGAGTATGATGACCATTTCCGTTTTCCTGGTACTCCTATCTATAGCGTAAGTCTAATGAATCCATAACCATGCCCAACACGCGTATGAACTCGACTCTAGGAATGAGGTTTCTATCAAGTGTGGTTAGCCTGATGCCGAGATCTGTGAGTGCCCCCCCCCCCCGGGCTTGGGACTTCGTATGACTACCACTCTTGCAGCGTGACAGCATTGGGCGTTTGCCACACCATTAGTACCATTATGTGTCAGAGGCATCGCGCCCAAAGAGGCGAAGAAGGGGCCGACAGAGGATCAACTGGCTCGAGCTGATCGTATCGATTGTGCTGCTCGCCTGACCACGGTAGAATACAGCTGTCTCTTTTCAGTAGCATATTTGGTGGAGGCGCGGGGTGAGAAATACAATACGCATGTTCACCCTTAATATCCAAAGATTTATTATAAGAGCGACAACCAATGAAGGTGAGGTCACAAGAGATGAAAGTGACTTTGAGAATATATAAAATTTAATTAACGGTAAAAAAACATTTTTGTGATAAAGTATACAAACAAATAGAAATATTCAACACTAGAAAAATGATGACAGCATCAGGTCAGCTGAAAAGAGACCCTGCACAGAAAATACAAAAGCCCGCGCATCAAAAACAAGCAGCCCAACATTTACCAAACACTTCGCTAACACAATGGCAGTATTTAGTTTCTAATATTCAAGTAAAAATTACTGCCGTGGCCCTAAATTAAGGACAACTCCATTATTTATGCTTATTTAAATAAAAAACACATTCTGAAGGTGGCAGAATATATCTACCTGAAGAGGTACTACCCGCAAGCAACTCACCCCACTTTTTGAAAGAAAAGCTGAATGAGGCTGCATAGCTTCATATGAAGCTGTTCATGTGATTAAAAGGCACATACAAAACAAGCTAACACGAAAAGGTAACATAGAGAACATTATTAGTAGTAATTGTAATGTAAATGTGAAGAAAAAAAAAGTAACCGAAATGATAACTCGATCCTGGCTGGGACCAAACCTGCGACCTTCCAAGGTCACAAGTTCGCGTTCCGCACTTCCACCAAATTTCTTGAGATTTATTTGCGTATAAACGTACTGGAACGACGAGCAACGTCCAGAGGGCAAAATCCAAGCAAGTGCACGCTCGGGTCGACTGGCTACCACCAACGCTTGCTTGCTGGCTTTCTTGGGCGCTTCGTCGTCGTCTTGCATTATTCACTACATTATGTTTGTTCTTTTTAGGCCAGTTTTTTTTTTAGTCATCCTTATCAGATTCGCAAATTGATCTGCTGTTTTAACACCCCAGTACAGTAAGCTTGAGAGCTCAAAGATATTATTGCACACTTATTACTGAACTCAGTTGCAGCAAGATTTCAGCGGCCATCAATAAAATAATACCAATATGGCAGCATGTATGCCAGGTGGTCCAAGAACGTAAGTTTTCCGAATTACCTACTTCCTACAAAATTAAAGCAAAGTAGAGTTGCCAAGCAGTAATTCTGCTGCGATACCGAAAGGTAAAGCCAAATGACCTTCACATCAGCGCCGAAACTTGAGGAAATAAACATGTCCTTGATTGAGCTTCAGATGAGGCATGTATTCCGATCTATTGGTAGTGTCAGACGCGGCATCAACACGTACTCTAAAACATCTATAAAGGTTTCGGACTTGTCGAAGACTAAGGTATATAGAGTAATAAAAGAGCTAGTCAGCTAGCGGAGCGTGACTCACTCGACTGCAGATATAC